AGAGGATCTATGAGGCAAATCCTGGTGGTATTTATCCAAGTGGTTTTAGGTGAGAGGTTACGTTGGTTTGTTCAGTTTGGAGGCAGGTAAATTGTTGCTTTGGAGTTGGATGGCTTTTTTGTCAAACGTTCACACATAAAACAGACACCCTTATTTTTAGTTCCATGCTCTGTAAGCAACCTACTCTTACAATCTGATTCCCCAATGTTGGTCACAGGATATGAATGTTTTTATTCATCTATTTATTTTTTTAAGTAATCTCTACACCCAATGTGGGACTCGAACTCACAACCTCGATTAGCAAGAGTCACAACCTCCGCCAACTGAGCCAGCCAGGTGCCCCAGGACATGAATGTTTTAGCCCGTGGCTATTATATCTTTTTCTGTTTATATTCATAATGTTCATTATGGACAAACTTGTGGTTTTGAACACCAGGCTCTGGGAGCATGAGTCTGCTTTGGGAGATGAATTTATAGTCTGTGTGTTAGCATATTGGATTTCTAAGCCTATACGGCTGAGGACCAGAACCTCACTCTGATGAAAGATAAGACCATACCAATGGAGGACCTTTGGGAGTTCCTAGAAACTCCCTAACTGGCCAGTGGTCAATATCCTTACTACTCAAACTGCTGATGTTATCAGGACTAGTGGGAGTTTTGTCTATATTCAGGGACTGGCAGGATACAATTATATTTGGGATCCTGGTCTGGAGTCAGATAGACTTGGTATAAATCCTATCTTTCATGTTTAACTTAAGCAAATTGTGTAATCTTTCTGTGCCTCAATTTTCTCATCTGTAATTTGGGCATAACAGGAGTGTCTACTTCATGGAATTGTTAGGAGACAATAAGACAGCATGTTAAGCACTTTATGTGTACTAGGCCTTATGTAACACCTAACATAAAATGTTGTTTAATAAACAGTAGCTACTCATATTTTTAGAGCTCTTACTAGGTGCTAGACACTGTGGTAAGCATGAATATATTTGTCCATAGTCAAACAGTTGGCAAGTGCTAGAACTGAGAGTTGACCCAGGCCAAAGCCAATGTATTTGACTACTAGCTTAAACCGTCTCTGATGGTTTAACAAACGCAGCAAACCTTGCGCTTCCAGAAAGTATTGCCTCCTTTAAAGGAATAAATTTGGAAGTCTGTATATTTATTCCTAAGCCTATTCAGGACTCCTGTATTGAACTGAAAAATCTGTGATTTATTTTTTTTAACATTCTTAAGAAGGGCAAATCGTTGTTCTTTGAGAGAAGATTTGATCTTCCGTAATAACCAAAACTTACTCAATGCCAAGCCCAGTAAGTAAAGTGGAGAATTACATTGGGACATGCCATCTGTGGCTGAGAGCATGGGGCTAAGAAAGCAATCCCACAGTTTTGACAGAAGTAGCAAATACTTCTTTGTCACAAAGCATTTTCTTTAAAAAAAAATTTTTTTTTAATGTTTATTTTTGAGAGAGAGAGAGACAGAGTGTGAGTGGGGGAGAAGCAGAGACAGAGAGGGAAGCACAGAATCTGAAACAGGCTCCAGGCTCTTAGCTGTCAGCACAGAGCCGGATGCAGAGCTTGAACTCGGGACTGGCAAGATCATGACCTGAGCCGAAGTCGGACGCTTAACCAGCTGAGCTACCCAGGCACCCCGTCACAAAGCATTTTCCATTGTGGCTGACTTCACTTTCCTATCCCACTCCTTTTTTATGGGATTAAATAAGAAAATATGTGTTGTTATTTGTAAATTAGGTTAGCTACAAATGGGTTAAATTATGGTAACTAATGTTAGCAGATGAATACAAACATAAAGAAAGATTGCCAACGAAGGCCATGTCTTTTTAACAACTCTATCATTGACACAAAAATATGCTCATCAAAATAATTTGAGAATGGGTGATTTTTAAAAAAGGATGAGGGATTGAAAGTTAAGTTTAGCAGAGTTAAATGTAAGATCCTGTACTTCAAGCTGGGAAAAAATAACTGCATATACAGAATATAAACAATATAGCCTAAAAGTATATAAGAAAATTGCTTAGAAGTTTTAGTAGATAAGAACTTAATCTAAGTTAATGACTGCCAAGAAAAATACTAAGGTGTCACGCTGAATTAAAGGAAGCCTAGACTCTAGATGAAGGAGGTGACCTATCCACTCTGCTCTGCTGATTAGATTTCTGGAAGCTACAATTTCAGAGGCTACAATTTGAATATGGCCATACTGCATTCAGAAGAGAGTAATCATGGTAAAAGAGCATGAGAAATGTTGAATGGTTTGGAGATGTGTTGTTTGAAGGTGAAAATATTGGGGCCATGATAGATTTCTTTAAATATTTCATGTGCAATCACATGGGGAAAGGATTTGGTTCATTTCACATGGTAGCAAGGGGTGGAATAAGAAAAGTGGGTGGAAGCTTCAGTGAGATAAGAGTTTTAGTTCAGAATGCAGAAGAAGTGTATAAAATTGGCAAACTAAAAATGAAATGAGGTTTCAGGGAGAAGTTTCTCCACCACCTGAGGTGCTCCCACAGAAACAGAAACTGAACTACTTCTTTCTCCCTAAGAAAGGTCTTAAGCCTATCAGATCCTATTTGTAATCACCACTATTATCCAAAAGCAACTTTATTTATTTATTCTTTTAAGTTTATTTATTTTCAAAGTGAGAGAGAGCAAGCAGGAGAGGAGCAGAGAGAGAGGGAGAGAGAGAATCCTAAGCAGGTTCTGTGATATAAGCACAGAGCCTGACTAGGGACTTAATCCATGAACCACGAGATCATGACCTGAACCGAAATCAAGAGTTTGACGCTCAACCGACTGAGCCATCCAGGCGCCCCATCCAAAAGCCCCTTTAAAGCACCCCTTATGTGTTGTGAAGCTAGAGCCACCAACTGTCCTGATTTTCCCAAGGAGTGTGGGAGTTAGTTTGCTAAAACTATGAAAGGTCCCATGTGAACCGCAGCAAGTTTATCACCCCAGAGTGGAAGGAGTTTTGGATAAAGAAGGTCCTTTAAGGGGCACCTGGGTGGCTTTGTCGGTTAAGCATCTGACTTCAGCTCAGGTCATGATCTTGCAGCTCATGAGTAGGAGCCCCACTTTGGGCTCGCTGCTGTCAGCCTGTCCTCACAGAGCCTGCTTTGGATCCTCTGTCCCCCTCTCTCTACCCCTCCCTGACTTGTGCTCTCCTAAAAATAAAAAAATATTAAAAAAAAGAATGTCCTTTAAGTCGTGGTTGAGACAAACATAGAAGATATGCAATCAAACCTTCACTGAAGGTTTGATTTATAAACCTTCATGAATTAATAAAGGAGTTGTCTTGTCTTCCATATAAATGAAATTTCCAGATATTCGAAACTTACTGTTTAAATACCAACAAATTTATATGTATTAGATTAGATTTTAAAAATAATTTTAAAGATTACTTATTTTGAGAGAAGGAAAGAGAGCATGAGCAGGGGAGAGGCAGAGAAAGAGGGAGAGAGAGAGAATCCCAAGCAGGCTCCACACTGTCAGCACAGAGCCTGATTAGAGGTTCAAACTCACAGACCATGAGATCATAACCTGAGCCAAAACCAAGAGTCACACGCTTAACTGGTTGAGCCACCCAAGTGCCCCTGTATTAGATTTAAAATGTCTTAAAACATATTACATAGTTCCCTGTGCTGTTTATCAGATAATATGGCATATAGATGTCTTCTTTTGAAAATATGTTAGGAAAGAATTAGGATTGGAATATAGGGCAATAAAACAAAATAGGTAAGACTTAAGTTTTGAAGTTTGACGGAGGTGGGTTTGAACTGGCCTCTATCCATTATAGCATGTCAAGTTATTTAATCTGTGTCTCAGTTTTCTCAACTGTAAATTGGGGGTAATATGTACCTACTGCATAGAGTAGTGCCTGGTAGACCATGAAGAGCACTGAGTAAATAGTAGCTGTTTTATCATCATTATTAAAACCCCTAGAGTTATTGTCTGGACTAAACAGCTGCAGCTGGTTACACCATCTTCTAGATCATCTGAATGGACTCTGCTGCTGCCATCGTAATCTCGGGTGTGTGTGCTTGATCTTTATTTTATGCATAATTAAATGACTGTGTGAGAACACTTAGACTTCCTAAAGAACAAAATGCATGTGCTTTTTGATGTCTGTTTACTCATTGATTTCTAGTCCCTGGACTATATTCCAAATACTGGAGTGTTTTGGAAACATTACCTACTTATAAGTGTGGCATTACAGAAATCAGTTGATTAATCTGCCTATTTAACCAGCAGTTCAAAGTTTAAGTGATTGTTTTCTTTTTAAAGGCATTAAATGTTTTTATTTATTTATTTTTGAGAGAGAGAGAGAGAGAGAGAGAAAACACAAGTGGGGGAGGGGCAGGAAGAGAGGGAGCACAGAATCCAAAGTAGGCTCCAGGCTCTGAGCTGTCAGTGCAGAGCCTGACACAGGGCTCGAACCCATGAACCCTGAGATCTTGATCTGAGCCGAAGTTGGACGCTTAACTGACTGAGCCACCCAGGTGCCCCTAAATGATTTTTTTCAAATAGAATTTTACAAAGGCTCTTCTCTTTGTTCTACCACCCATTTGGTCCAAAAAAAAAATCCTTATTCTTTTCTTACGGTTCCTAAAATACCAAAGTACTTGGACAAAGTATGCATCTGAACTTTATTAGTTTTCTTTGGGAAGCCCAAGAGGATAACATTCTTAAAGCACAAGTCCATAATTGCTTTTCCCTTATAACATTACCCCTTGGTCCTATGCAAAAAAGCAGTAGATAAACATGTCTGCGAGATTCATAAGGAAGGTTGAAAAAAAGCACATGGAGGCACATTTAACATGGCTGTGCTGACTTTCCCTATCCTTCCTTCTCTTCTTTCTACCTGCAAGACCTAACCATGCCAACCCAAATCTGTGGGTCATCATGTAATCAACTGCACTTTTCATTACAAGACTGGACAAAGATTACCCATTTAAACTCGTTCTCTTAACTCCATACTACTCCCTTTAGGTGTTCCCTGGGAGGGAGGAAACTCTTCAGAAGAGCAGATAAAGCCAAGCATACTGGCATCGCTCACACATCTGTCAGAAAATTGCGGAGTTTTAAAAAATCACTTCAGTCCAAAGTTAACCTATTTGAAACTGACCACTGGGAGTTGGCCTCCTGTCTAAAGGTTTAGCTGTAAGTAAACAAACAACCAAAAAAATTAAAGACCTTGTTTTTGATCAGACTGTTCAAAGAAAGATTTTTGTGGGTGAAAGTTCACCAGGCTGAAACAATAGAAACACTTGAGAGTGGAATATGGCCTTCACCCTTAAAGCAGAGGTCTTCGTTCACCTTGGCTGGCCTCCTTCAAGAGCACAGACATGACTTGTTTTGCCTCTCAGAATATTTTGCACGTTCATCTTTGATAGGGGAGTCAGAAGACACTATGTTCAGCAGTTGGGCATTTAGGACTAGAAGTTGGCAACGACTTTCAGCAGGGTTGGTCTTTACTTGGCAATAACCTGGTGAATAGTTTTTAATGATTAGGAAGCAAGAGGAAAAAGTAGCAGAAACTTTCTCACTCCCGTGGCTCTGTATCAGTCCCAGTGTAGATTCTTGAGCTGCCTAATAAAAACCACCCAGAACTGAAAAAGTAGCCAGTCTGACCCTTCCCCTGATTTAAACTAATTTTTTAACCTTTAAGGGAATCTTTAAGAGAAAAATGAACTCAATCCTTAATTAATGAAGCTCTAAGTGAGAAAAGGCCAAAAGTAATTACTACTTAAAGAGTATGAAGGTATTTACTTGTCCATGCGTCTGCCAGTGTGCTCCAGTTATGGCAACTATATGTGCTAAATTATCAGGGAAAGTCCAGATTTTATATATTTTCTCTCAGAAATCTTTTACTCCTCAGATTATGAAGTTCAGAAATTTTTCAAGTTTGTAAAATATGGTAATTTTTATTATTTTAGCTCATAAGCTCTGTTAAAAATAATGATGTGGAGGGGCACCTGGGTAGCTTAGTTGGTTAAGCATGTGACTTTGGCTCAGGTCATGATCTCACAGTTAGCGGGTTCAAGCCCCACATTGGGCTTTGTGCTGACAGCTCAGAGCCTGGAGCCTGCTTCAGATTCTGTGTCTCCCTCTCTCTCTGTCCCTCCCCACTTGCATTCTCTCTCTCTCTCTCTCTCTCTCTCTCTCTCAAAAATAAATAAACATGAGGGGCGCCTAGGTGGCTCAGTCGGTTAAGTGGCCGACTTCGGCTCAGGTCATGATCTCGCAGTCCGTGAGTTTGAGTCCCGCGTCGGGCTCTGTGCTGACAGCTCAGAGCCTGGAACCTGTTTCAGATTCTGTGTCTCCCTCTCTCTGACCCTCCCCTGTTCATGCTCTGTCTCTCCCTGTCTCAAAAATAAATAAAACGTTAAAAAAATAAAAAATAAATAAATAAACATGAAAAAAATAAAAAAAAATAAAGATGTGGAAAGCTGTTTGTTAATCTTAAAAATAAAATTGTCAGTTATTTTACCAGCAAAATGGGTTTATTCAGGAATAATGGAGAATTGCAATTCGGGGCATGCGACATATGAAAAGCCATAGGCAACTCCAACAAACAAAGACGAACCTCATGTTATGAAGGAAAAGGAGGTTGGGGGTCGGGGTTGTTTTGAATGAAAGTCCATTGAAGGAAAGAAAGAGTTCAGGGTGATGATGCTTTCTCATTGGTTGGGTTGCTGGGGCACTCGATTTCTTGCATGAGATGCAATGCGTATAATTGATGATTCTTTCCTTTGATTCTTCTTTTGGGGTCTGTAATTGACAGTTCTTCTTGTAATTAATGTAGGGCACCCCCTTCCAGGCTCCTATTCTAGATTCCCAAGTCCACTTCAGTGAGGTGCCTTTTTTTATTAATTTTCACATGTTTTAAACTGAGGGAAAGCTATTGAAATACAAATAGTTACCATTCACCATCTATGAAATCTTACCAATGTAATTAACAAGTCATATCCCTGTATGATTTTAATGCACACGAAAAGAACAGAGCATAACACAATTACCACTTAAATTATCCTGACCTCTGTCCTCTAGTGTAAGTGGAGAAAGGAGAGGGGTATTGGTTTATGTCCCTTCTGAGCATCCTTCTCCTAATTTGGAAATTACATGCTCTTCACCAGGCATTTGCTCCATCATGCGCCACCATTCACTTAACTACAGATCAATGCCTCAAACTCCTGGACACAGTTCTCTTGTAGGATGTTGTTTTCTGTGATGGGTGCAACATAAGATTAAATGTGAGGCAGGGCATGCTTCTCTTTACAGTTTCATCCCTTTATCCTCCACACCTCCACCACACAAGGTAGTGTACATCTATTAGACTTAATGAATGGTTGGATTAACTTAAGGAAATCACAGTGTAGGAAGGGGAAAAAATGTAAACTGAATGTGAAACCTGCTATAATCACCCAACTCACAGCGCATTTGATAGGTAGGAACTCTACTTAAACTACCTTCCTGGAAATCGCATCAAGCCTTCCACTTAATACATTAATAAGAAACTTAGATTCCTGGCCACATAAACCTGCTGCTTCAAGAGTGAAGTCCACATTCTACTCTTGAATTTTTCATGTCACTCTGGTTTCAGCCTAGTGACCCACAAAAGACTGCAGGAGGGAGGCCAGCAAAATTAAGTGCCCTGACCTCTCCCCCACCATAAGGGAAAGTCAGAGGTTGAAGAACAAAATGAGAATAGTGATACTAATTGATCAAGTTACATGTTTTTTGTACATCCTACGTTCAGTGTATCAATGGTAATTCAGCTAAATAACCTTTCCCATCATCCCAGGAAAGTGAATAAGACATTACACCTTTGCTGGGAGATTGATTGCCTTCTAGATAACCCAATTTATAATCTTTCTGCCCTACCCTCAAGTTTGAGAGCCCTGCCATTTCCTAACCTCTGCTATTTGGCTGTCTTCCTATCTTTGACAAACTCTAGTCATCACCCATGGAGTTGGTCTCATTCCAGGAACTATTCCAGTAGTTCATTCTTCAAGTCTGAGTTATTCAGTTAAAACAGCCCAAATGCTTTAGACAACTCCCACAGACCAGTCACAGTTCTTTGGTGCTAGAGCCCTACAGAACAGTCCAGGTGGGCACGTAAGACCTCCAAGTGTGATCCCTGTTTGTCTCCTCACTGCTGTGAGTAGCAAATATGCCTCTTTGTTCTTAAAATTGTCTAGCTAGTAACTGTTAGAACACAGATGGACACACACACACACACACACACACACACACACACAAAACACCTTTCAAGGGCAAATGTTAATCATGGAGACAATATACAACCAAAAGCCCTCAGACTGCCTACATAGTGAATTCTTCCTACAGACATATCTGATCTCCTTGTTGTTGTTGTTGTTATTGTTGTTGTTGTTGTTATGGTCTTCAAATGATTTGTAATGTCTTTAGAAGGGGCATGCAATTGTTGTTTCCCCCCAGTCTCTACTCTTTCTCCTTATTCACATCCAGCTGCATCACTCATTTATATACTGGCCTGATCTTGAAAAACGTTTGAGTTTGAGATCCCTGCATCTAAACCCAAATGAGGGCTGCTTGGGTGGCTCAGTCCATTAAGCATCCAACTCTTGATTTCAGCTCAGGTCATGATCTCATGGTTTGTGGGTTCAAGCCTAATATCAGGCTCTGCTCTGACAGCATGGAGCCTGCTTGGGATTCCCTCTCTTTCTCTGCCCCTCCCTCCCTCACATGTACATGCACTCTCTCTCTCTCTTAAAATAAATAAACATTTAAACCCATAAGGAGGAAGATATACATTTTCCTAATTACCTTTAATATATGAACATATCTCCTTTCTCCCCCTTCTGCTTTTAAACTTTGCCCCTTGGGTCTTCAAGTTATACCAGTCCACTCCCTTAGCTAATCCCAAACCACATACAGTTTTTACTATTTTTAATTTTTAAAAATTTTTTGTAATGTTTATTTATTTTGAGAGAGAGCGAGAGAGCGCATGTGCATGCACATGCAAGTAGGGGAGGGGCAGAGAGAGGGAGACAGAGAATCTCAAGCAGGCTCCATGCTTTCAGCACAGAACCCATCACAGGGCTCGATCCCACAAACTACGAGATTGTGACCTAAGCCGAAATCAAGAATTGGATGCTTAACCAACTGAGCCACCCAGGCATGCCCCCCCAAACCACATAAAGTTTTTAAATGTTCCCTTAAGGATCTAGGTAAGTTCTTAGCAAGACTTCTCCTCTCTCCCAGCCTTTGAACTACCGGAGATGGAGGGGAGGTTTGATTCTTTAGGCCACATTAATAGTAGCCAAGTTCTTCCTTAGCATTCTCACGGATATTGTTTGGAATAGTTATAACTGGGCAATAATTCCTTCACGATTTAGTTTTAATACTTTTTCATTTCGTATTGTGCCACCATTTTCATGTGTTCAGATATGTATTGAGCTCCTACTACAAATCAGGCATACTTGTACTGGGAATAGAGCAATGAACAAAGCAAAGCTCCCTGCCCTCATGAAACTTGCATTCTAGTGAAGGAAACAAGACTTCCGGGAAGATGGCAGAGTAGGAGGATCCTAAGCCCACCTGTCCCATGGACACGCCTAGATAACAGCCACATCCTAAACCCACAAAACAGCAAGAAGACTGGCAGAACAGACTTTTCACAGTTCATCATAGAGAGGGGGCCACATCTAGTAAAAGAAACAATTTCAGTAACCACGATAGAGTTCCTATTGTTAATGTCTGTAACGCTGCAGATTTAGTATCCTCTGGTTTTAATTCAGAATTATCTCATTCATGTAATCAGGAGATTTTATCTCAACTCAAGTAAAGTAATTGTCTGTTGTTAAATACCAATTTAGTAATAAAATGGCCAAATGTAACCTGTCTGTGACTAGTTAGCTCAATAGATTGAGAAAGGTATGATGACATCAAGGTCATTAACTCTTGGGCTTATTCTACACACAAACTAGTTAATATTAGTTAATATCTTTCAGTCTCATTGCCACAGATTACTTTGCTAACGTGGCCAGTCCTCCAGAGGCATCCAGTTGAAAACAAGAGAAATAAGGGGATGATAGACTAGGTGTCTGTTAGCACTGTTAGAAAAACAACTTAACACCCGTATCCTGATGATGGTGTTCTAAGAGGCATGCCAGACA